ATGGAAGTACTATTGGTGGGCATTCAGGTGTTCTTAAGACATATCGACGGTTGGCGGCAGAGCTATATTGGGTAGGGATGAAAAAAGATGTGGAGGACTTGGTTGCGCGGTGTGATGTGTGTCAGCGTCACAAGTATATGGCGATGGCACCAGGTGGGTTGTTGCAGCCTCTATCGCTACCGGAAAATGTTTGGAAGGAGGTGACGATGGACTTTATCGAGGGGTTGCCTCGGTCGGAGGGATACACTGTGATTTTGGTGATGGTTGATTGCCTGAGCAAGTATGCTCATTTTATACCCCTCCGACATCCCTATACGGTAGTGTCTGTAGCAGCGGCGTTTATGAGAGGGGTTGTGTGACTACATGGCGTTCCGGAATCGATAGTGTCAGACCCGGACAAGATCTTTTTGAGTCACTTTTGGAGGGAGTTGTTTCGGATGCAGGGGACCGTTCTGAAGAGGAGTACTGCTTATCACCCGTAGACCGATGGCCAATCGGAGGTCGTTAATCGGAGTGTGGAGACATATTTAAGGTGTTTTGTATCTGACACACCCAAGCATTGGGCGAGGTGGTTGGCTTGGGCAGAGTATTGGTATAACACCTCTTATCATAGGGCGACGCAGACTACCCCCTTTAAGATCTTGTATGGGCGGGATCCACCGCATTTGGTGCACTATGGGCACCGCACCACGCCAATGTCGCAGGTGGATCAATATTTGGAGGAACGAGATCGGATGTTGGATGAGTTGAAGAAACATTTATTAAAAGCTCAACAGATTATGAAGCAGCATGCGGATGGACATAGGAGGGATGTCCAGTTTGAGGTGGGGGATCGAGTTTATTTGAAGCTCCGATCATACCGACAAAAGACGTTAGCACGACGGAGGAATGAGAAGCTTTCTGCTCAGTACTTTGGGCCGTTTGAGATCGTAGAGTGCATTGGTGAGGTGGCATATCGTTTGCGATTACCACCTACATCGATCATTCATCCGGTGTTTCATGTATCCCAATTAAGACGTGCTATTGGAGATCATGCTTCCTCACCTTCATTGCAGCCTACTTTGACTGAGGACATGGAGGTCGTCTTGGAACCAAAGGCAATGGACGGGGTCCGTCAAGGAACGCCGGGCGGAAGGGAGGTGCTTATCAAGTGAAAAGATATACCGGACTATGAAGCTACATGGGAGCCGTTTGACTTGATTCGGGAGCAATTTTCTTTGTTCCACCTTGAGGACAAGGTGTCTCATTGGGAGGGGAGTAATGTTAGACTTGGAAGGGAGGGGCTGAAAACGTATTATAGGCGTAGGTTTAAGAACATGGGCAGTTTGATAAATTGACAAGGTCATTAGTGGGAGACTGAGTTTAAGAAGGTTGTTAGGGGAAGATTAGGGTCTCTCATGCAGGTTTTGGAAAGTATTAGCAGTAGATTAGAGATTATTGGAGAGGTGTGGCCTAACTCTCGAATCAGAGGTCATTTGTTTCTTTCAATTTCTATTTGATTTCTAATTTGATTTCTATCAAAGCCACAAGGGAGAGAGTGTTAGTAAAGTCATTGAGTTATGTTTGCATGCTTGGAAGTATTGAGAGAGTCTTCACTATAAATGTTGATAATGCCTCCTCAAATGACTCAATGATTACCTACTTGAGAAGGAAGATTAAGGGGTGGAAATGGGTTGTTTTAGGTGGGGAATTTCTGCATGTTAGGCGTTGTGCCCATATAGTGAACTTGATTGTCAATGAAAGTTTAAAAGACCTACATAATTCCATAGCTGCCATTCGTAATGATGTGAGATATGTGAGGTCTTCTCGGCTAGGTTGCTGAAATTCAAGTCATGTGTGGAGCAAGAGAAAATTGAATACAAAGGTCTCGTATGCCTAGATGTCCCTACTAGATGAAACTCTACCTATATGATGTTAGATGCAGCCATTAAGTTTCAAAAAGCATTTGAAAGATATGAATAATAAGGTGACAAGTTTGTGTCTTATTTTCGGGAAGATGAAGGGGGGAAACGGAAGATTAGCCCGCCACTTGATGATGATTGGGAGAATGTTAAGGTGTTTGTGAAATTTTTGAAGACTTTTTATGATATAACTTTGAAGTTTAGTGCCACTTTGAATGTCACTTCAAATTCTTACTTTCATGAGTTTTGTGAGATACAAAACCAGCTATCTGAATTGAGCAAACAAGAGGATTCAATGCTTTCATCCATGGCTGTGAGTATGAAAAAGAAGTATGACAAGTATTGGAGGAACGTTGAGAATATAAATTGTCTTCTCTTTGTGGCTATTGTACTTGATCCTAGGTCCAAAATAGATTATTTGACATATTGTTTCTCTATAGTGTATGATTCTTGCACTTCTGAAACATTAGCAAAGAATGTGAAGGATACTATGTACCGGCTGCATGAGGTTTATAGTGGGGACAAGGGTGCAGCCATTAAGTTTCAAAAAGCATTTGAAAGATATGAATAATAAGGTGACAAGTTTGTGTCTTATTTTCGGGAAGATGAAGGGGGGAAACGGAAGATTAGCCCGCCACTTGATGATGATTGGGAGAATGTTAAGGTGTTTGTGAAATTTTTGAAGACTTTTTATGATATAACTTTGAAGTTTAGTGCCACTTTGAATGTCACTTCAAATTCTTACTTTCATGAGTTTTGTGAGATACAAAACCAGCTATCTGAATTGAGCAAACAAGAGGATTCAATGCTTTCATCCATGGCTGTGAGTATGAAAAAGAAGTATGACAAGTATTGGAGGAACGTTGAGAATATAAATTGTCTTCTCTTTGTGGCTATTGTACTTGATCCTAGGTCCAAAATAGATTATTTGACATATTGTTTCTCTATAGTGTATGATTCTTGCACTTCTGAAACATTAGCAAAGAATGTGAAGGATACTATGTACCGGCTGCATGAGGTTTATAGTGGGGACAAGGGTGGATCTGTGGCTAATGAAAGTAGTAGGGAGGCGGCAACAACAAGTACAACGGAGGGAAAAACGAAAGTAGAAGGAAAATGGTGTTTGTGGAGCTCTTTTGTTAGGAAAATGAATGAGAAGAATGTGAATGAGTACGAAAATGATGTGGACAGATACTTGACAGACCCTATGGAGGATCCAACTCGGTCAAATTTTGATGTTTTAGATTGGTGGAAGAATAATGCAACTAATTACAATGTTCTCTCACTAGTTGCAAGAGACATTCTTGCCATTCCTATTTCAACTGTAGTCTCAGAATCTGCTTTTAGTACCCAAGGCCGCATCCTCGATCCCTTTAGGAGTTCATTGAGCCGCAAGATGGTGGAGGCATTGATTTGTACACAAAATTAGCTACGTAATCGTGAGCACATCAACCTAATTGACGTTGAAGACTTTAATGAATATGAAGATATTGAGTCGGGTAATCTTTTTATGTTTTACTTATTTTTTTTAATTTTATTTCATCTCCTTGTTGTTTATTTTGTTGTCCTCAACTTGATTCTGATGATTTTTTTTGTTATGTTTTCTTCTCAAGATTTGTCAAATTCTGTTGCAACACATGATGGACAAATTAGGAGTGAAGGTGCTATTATTCTGGATTAAACAGTTTGGAGTTGACTAAATTTTCTTATTTTGTGACTATTTTTATATGGACTGTTTATCTTTATATGGACTGTTTATTTAGGATTAAACTGTTTATTTTATATGGACTATTTTGCTTTTCAAGATTTTATTTCATCTCCTTATTGTTTATGCTTTTGGATTGTTAAAAGAGGTATAAAGTTATAGATTAAAATTGGTTTTCACCAACCCGAGTAACCCGGCGTCACCCAAAAGGTTGCGGGTTTGTAGACTTAAGAGAGTGTCGCGGCCCAAAATTTTCTCAACCCACACTGATCGGGTCAGCTCAATTTTTCGGCTCAACCCGACCCTACCCGGCCGATTTACACCTCTACTCGGCACGCACATCTTCCCTAAGTCCATTCAAAAAACACCATTGTAAAAAGCACTCGGCATCGCACCAGCCCTAACAGCAGCTCAAAACGGTCTAAGTAGTCCGCCACTGACCCCACCTGCCTCACAGCCATAAGCCTCTCCATCGGATCCCCCTCCTTAGCTCTACTAAACCTCTTCAAAATCGCTACCTTCAAGTCCCACCATTCACCGAACGGATCTTAAGAATCAGTCCATCTGAACCAGTTTAAAGCTCGCCCTTCCATACACATGGAAGCCACTGCCACCTTATCCCGTTCCCACACGTCATACATATCAAAATATTGCTCAGCTCGGAACAGCCACCCATAAGGGTCCTCGCCAGAAAAGCTCGGCATCTCCACTCTCCTTCCTCGTATTTCCCCTTTTCCCTGACCTTCCGGCGTCTCGAGCCGCTGTCCCCGCTCCCAATCCCACGATTGTCCGCCCCTGGCCTGCCTAGGTTCATCCTTGTTCTCCTCCCAAACTTTCCCAACTCGGCGGCCAGGTACCCTGCAAACTCTGCCGCCATTCCCCCCTACTCTAGGGTCGAGGTGGTTACCCCGTCGTGCCCCCATGGGTCCCCGTTCGAGGCTGGGTTCCCGAACTAGGCGTCCACCCCTTTCTCTCGGAGGTTCCTTGACTGGGTCGACTTGGTGCTCCCACCCTAGATCCAGCGGCCAAACAGGACCATGCCTCCCTCCTCTCTCGTCCAGGCCGCGTCCAACCACCCCCGCCGCCTCGCGCAGCCGTCGTCCGACCTCCAGACCTCCATCCCGTGGCGGCGCGACCTCGTCTGCAATTGGGTCGACGACAACCGGACCTCCCCATCGCAGATCGCCTGGATTCGGGCCATTTCGGTCACGCGGGACCACTTCCCCTTGCTCCGGCGCGTTCTCTGGCAAAGCTGGCCGGCGACCCATGAGATCTTCCAGCCGGCGCAGTACCTCGTGGACCCCGCCGATCTAGTTTCTCATCTCCTCCCTCAACCCACCGATTTCCTCCTAGATCTGCAGGATCTGCTCGGCCGTCAGGGATTGCACCACTTCCTATGCCGCCGTCAGCCCCTTCTCTGCCGCGACCAGCCTCTCCGTATCTGCCGGTTTGGGCGCCATGGATCGTATGGCTCTGATACCAGTTTGTAAGGAACCTGGTTAATTCACAACCAAATACACACACACAGAGGCACAGCGTGAAGAATGAAAGGAATCAGGGTAGCTTTTATTGAATTCAAACGGCCAACAACAATTACAGTAGACAAACTAACACGATAGACCCAGAGATTTCGAGTACTTCGGAACTCTTAGCCACCGATGGTGGGAACAATACAGAGACAACCAAGGGAATTCGACCCCCTGCCCTAACCCTTTCTAGCCCCCCAAATACCCTAATTCCTACTTGCCTTTGCCACGTCACCTGGCTAGCCACTTTCTGAAATGACTCCTTGACCCCCAACTATAGTCTTTTTGTCACTCTTACCCCTCCTAGTGTAAACGTTTTTCAATACAGGTCTGACAATATATATATGTATGTATGTATGTATATATGTAGTTTTAAAAAATAGGCATTTGGTCATTTGAGTATTCTTATAAAGTCCGGCTCTTGTAACTTACTAAACAATATAGTTATAAAAAAATAGGCCTTTGGTCATTTGAGTATTCTTATAAACTCCGGCTCTTGTAACTTACTAAACAAACTCAACAGCTCTTTATATGATCAATTAAACTTGGTAGTGTAAGAAATGGCTAAAAGAAAAAAGTTTACTGTATACCTTTTCTGGATCTCCACCATCTTTAAACATATTATAAGCTTCCCTCATGACAGGTCTTGGATCTCTTCCAACCTGCATTTATCTAGTTGATGGTCAGAATAATTGTTTGATCATTTCAACTTATTCAATTTATTACAAGTGGAGAACACTTCACACTTCCAAGGGATAATAACAAGTTTTTAACACGATTTGTAAAACACTTGGGAAATGTGATGTTCCTGAAAGCATTGACCGGAACACAACATTTCGATAAAACAGAACCCTACAAATTATTAACTACGGATGAATTCTTCCATTCTCACCAAGTTGTGTTTATGATCCTACATAGCTCAAGACCATACTTATAGGTAACGTAAGCATAGTTTTGTTACATTTTGTTCTTTGGCTATTCAGTTTAAAAACAGCTGATCAGAAGTTGATACATATATGCTGCACAAATGTACGTAATGACCAGAATTCCTTAACGACAGAGATGAAAGACCAACTTGCTGACCTCAAGAAATCGTCGCCTTGCTTCATCAGCACCATATAACTGAGCTTCGCAGATAAAACACCAAATGGACTCCTCTGTATCATTCGGGTTCTGTGCTACATCTATCCGGAACTGCTCTGCCCCTTCTTCAAATCTAACGCCAATCCCAACATATTCCAATTATACAAGACTTCTCAAAAATTCTCTTCTAAGAAGATATTGAAAGTAGTATCCTAGCTTCAATAAAATTTTATATTCACTATAACATTTTTTTTATTCCTTAATAAAACATTTAATCATTTATGTCTCAGTAAGCACTTTAGAAAATGTGGTTCCAACCACTGTTAGTTTGGTAAAGGGGTTCAAATCAGGATGGGTTCAAACCATGTGGGTTTTGAACAGTGGGTTTGAGCCTGGGTTCAAACTTTGATTTAACTCAAGGGGGATTTGGGTTTAGAAATGCTTTTATTTTGTGGGTTTATATGTCACATCGAGGGGTTCAAACCTCCTTTTACTTTTTTACAAATAAACACTGATTTGAAGCTGAACTTGGGTTCGTTTCTTGAACCCTCCAACTAAAACTTCTTTTCTTCTGTTGTCATAACAGATAAAGCAAGAGCAATGCCATATGGGCTCTGAACTGATTAAAACTTCCATTTTAGTTCACATAATGAAACTAACTGGCCTCCGATTTTCAATTAGATACTCTTTCCTTACATTTCCCTGAATTCAAAAAAAGACTAAAGAGAAAAAAAACAAATTGTAGTAGTACCTATTAACACAGTAAAGTGAAAGCCCTCTTTGCCAAAGATCTGTAAAACCATCACAGCTCGATTCAGATTTGATCACAAACACACAAAAACTCAATGAAATCTTGCAAACAGAAAGTGTAAAACAAACCTACATGCCTTTTGACGAGGGTCCAGCTCAATGGCCTTATCGAATTCCACTAAAGATCCAGAAACATCACCCTTAAAAGGAAACAAACACACCACGCCATAAATTCAAAGCCCCAAAGCCTAAAGCTACCGCTACAACATTAAAAGAGAGAGAGGCAAAAAAAAAAAATTTGAAACTTGACGACCAAATTTTTCAAAGCACACCTGTTCAACCTCGTGGGGTTTGTACCCGGAGATTCATCAGGTGGGGCCCATCATTTGTGAGAGCCGTGAATATTATTTTTCATTCGTTACCTGTCTAAAGAGCAACATTCCACGGCGAATTGCTTGAATGGCTTCGCGGGCGTTGTTGCCGCCAGTTATGGCGTCCCAGATACCGGAAACCGAAGGAAGGAACGATCTTCTGGTGATTGAGAGAGACGGGGGTTGGATTTGGAGGACACCAGTTCTCGGAGGAATGGTGATGAACAAGTTGTGAGAATTGAAGTGGGTTTTGAAAGGAGTGATTGTGGGGTGTATGGAAATGGACGGTTTGGGGTTTTGGATTCTAATGGCCATGGATGAAGAAGATATCCAAAAGCTTGGAAAACTGAAGAGAGAGAGAAGCAGAGAAGTGAAGATAAGGCGCTAAAAAGCCAACTGATTGTTCATTACTACGCCATTTTAATGGGTTGAGCTAGAAGATGTAGCTCATTACAAACCTAAGAGGCCCATTTTTAAGTCCATTCACGAATAGCAGTAGTTGGGTTAGAAGGCCCAATTCTTTTGAAAATAAAAAATTAAATTACAGATTTTAATATTTTTTAAGTACCTGACTTGAATATTCTTTTAAAAAAAATTATCTTTTAATTAATTTTAGTCTAAAAAATATAAATATATGAGCTAATATTAAACGATAAAAATAAAAGAGGTTCCATGTGGTATTTATAAGAACTTCCCAATTAGATATTTCAGGTTGGCCTAGTGAATTAGAAGAAGGGAATTAGAGGAGTGATACTTAAAAAAAAAAAAAAGAGTGAACTCACTCTCTAAATGTATTGTTATAAGATTTTTACTTTTTATTCTTGATTAATATCATTTTAACTAATATAGTTTTTTTACTAAAGGGTATTAATCAAAGTGTAAAACGTAAAAATCTAAGACTTGTGCATTCTGAAGGGTATTTGTCTCTTTTTTTTTTTAGAGATTCTTTGGTACGCCTGGCATACTTGCAGGTCAAGTTTTTTTAACCATTGGATCTGCGTATTTTTTAACTTTTACATAATTTTATGCATATCTAACAAATAGAAAACTTGTCTTATCAGTATATTAGCGTACTAGATAAGGTCCCTCTTTCTTTTGTTGGAATGTAAAGGATATACTTTTTACAGTGTTGGATTCGAATATAAGTTTCTTTTTTAAAACAATGGGCTTTATCCATGAATGTAGTATGGATAATCTTTATAAATACCCTTTAAAAGTACACGTGTCATGATTTTTACCATTTACTATTAATTCATAACTTTTTTAGTCAAATAATTACATTAAAAATAGTATTTATTGAGAGAAAGGATAAAAGCCAAAATTAATGCACTATTAAAGATAAATTTTTTATTTTTTCTATGTAGTAGAGAGCATAGTGCAGATCCAAAAATACCATACTTACTTTAAAAAAATAAAAAAAAAATTATGAGCCTTGTTTACATATGAAATTTTGATGCCGATGGATAAATAGATTTTATAAATAGTATTGGATCTAATTTTATATTAAAGTTTAATTGGCTGAAGTTAAATGAGGGATGTGAGTTGTTAGTAAGAAGGTGTGATACCTATTTAGTTATGTGTCGTTCTTTTATAGTCGTTTTCTTCTTAAGTTAAAATATAAAGGTAGAGAATGCAGAAAATCCTACTAGCAATACTCAAATTTGAACCATTGCATCGTATTATTTGGATCGTATCAGACAAAAGGTACGGTGAATCAACAAAATGTGAAAACGATTTGATGGTTAAAAATATTTTAATTACAAGGTATTTTTCAAATGTTACTACATAATTCTCTGTTTTCTTTTGTATATGAACAATCTTTGTTTCCTTTTGCTTGTAATTGTGGGTAAGCACATCTATCGAGTCCTAGTACAGTCACACGACTTCAAAATACACCCTTTGAGCAATATCAATGCTTGCAAAAGAAAAATAAGACCAAACGACAAGAAAATTTTTTAATTCATAAAAAAAAAAAAAAAAAAAAAAAATAGAAGCTCTTCTAAAGAATCTTTAGGTCTTGTTAGGGGAGAAGTTGTTATCATTAGTGGAGAAAGTTTAGGCTGCCTGACCTAATAAGGCCTAGGCCTAACGACCCAAATTGAAATTTTAAACCATAAAGCACGACAAATCTAAGGTTGGATAAGACCAACTCAGAATTTTATAAAGCATTTTTAGTTATTTTTATAAAAAAAGTTCATGGCCCGAATAAGTTTTTAGGCTCGAAACCTCAGCCTAATTTTGACTAGAGATTTAGGCCATGCTAACAATAACAGATTTTAAATTGATTCATTTGATCATGTCTAAACTTGTAACTTTAATTGTTAACGATGTAACTTCATGCATTATGATTATGATAACAAATTTGTTAATTTCTGTTGACGGTAAAAACTCGTCAACAGAAATAGACCGGGTCACCACTAGGTATCCCGTTGGATTACCGACTTAATATTGACTGTATACGTAATATAGGCAGTGAAGTGTTTGTGGTATTTTTTGTGTAGTGAGCAATATGAGAAAAAAATACTTGAAGTAGAAAAATACACAAAATTTATAGTAGTTCACTCTTATAATAAAGAGCTACATCCACTGTAGTTTACTATTCCTTTTGAGATTGTTACAATTTACACTAACAATTGCTCTCTCGTTCTTTTCTCTCAGGAAAAACCAACCTCTTTCCTGTATGAGGCTTCTCCCCTTTTATAACCGAGCTTCCTTCGTCGGGTGGGTTTTCTTTGTAAGCAGAACAGCGCTCAAGTGGTCTGCCTTTCTAGGCCCAGACTGCAGCCCACTAATCACATTTTTGAACTGTTCACTCTGCCAATTAGTCTCCCATTACGGCTTTGTGCGTACCTGTAACCCTTTTATGTCCCTTGTAGGGCGGTTTAAGGGTTTGCATTTAATGCCTGTACTGCAGACATCTCCCATTTCCGCACGCAACTTGCGATGTCAGGCTTTCCCCTCTTCGGGTATTCCTCCCGCCGTCTCTATTTGCTCAGCCTAGTTGTCTTTCTTGGCAATTAATTTCTTCCCGAAGGATTCCTGCCGTAAGGTCGACGGTATGACCTGTCGTCGTCATGAGGAGTCCGCGTCGAAGGTTGGGCTTCCCTTGCAGCAGAAAGAAAGGGAATCCCCACCGTCGAGGGTTGTTGCCTTTTGAGGGAAAGCAAGGCCACGTATCACACTGTTATTTTTCCATGCGTCATCCACATTTTCCCACATAACAACTGCCCCCCAGGTCGAGGGTTTCTTTTAGACAGCCTCGAACTTACGTTTGGTCGTACCTTCGTGCTTCGGGTGTGGGAAACTGATCCCGGGCCTTAATCTGCAATGATGGTCTAGATGCTTTGGATTTCCTCGAGGAGCACAACCGTCGCGTCGGTCGCTGCCCCATGCTGACGTAAGGCTTTATTTCAAAAAGATGAATATGAGCCCTTGGATCGCATCGCTTCATCTTCTCGCCTTCGTTTTGCTGTCGTTTGATCTGGGAAAATTGCCCCTGCCGTTGGATTTCCATGAGCCTCATCTGACGGTAGGGGTGTAAATTGGCCGGGTAGGGTAGGGTTGAGCCGAAAAATTAAGCCTACCCGACCAGTGCGAGTTGAGAAAATTTTGAGCTGTGACACTTTCTTAAATCTACAAACCCGCAACGTTTTGGGTGACCTCGGGTAGGGTAGGGTTACTCGGGTTGGTGAAAGCAGATAACTAATATAAAAACAACTAGAATATTTCAATTAGATTGGTACCCTTCTAACATGCATAATAGTCCATATAAAATAAACAGTTTAATCTAGAATAAATAATCCATATAAAGATAAACAGTCCATATAAAAATAGTCGCAAAATAGGACATGAAATAAAAGTTAGTCCACTCCAAACTGTTTAATCCAGAATAATAGCATCTTTATTCCCAAGTTGCCCCTCATGTGTTGCAACAGAATTTGACAAATCTTGAGAAGAAAACATAACAAAAAAAAAATCATCAGAATCAAGTTTAGAACAACAAAATAAACAACAAGGAGATGAAATAAAATTAAAAAAAAAGTAAGTAAAACGTAAAAAGATTACCTAATTCAATATCTTCATATTCATTAAATTCTTCCAAGTCACTAAGGTTGATGTGCTCACGACTACGCAGCCAATTTTGTGTACAAATCAATGCCTCCACCATCTTGGGGCTCAATGAACTCCTAAAGGGATCGAGAATGCGGCCTCCGATACTAAAAGCATATTCTGAGGCTACCGTTGAAACAGGAATGGCAAGAATGTCTCTTGCAACTAGTGAGAGAACCTTGTAATTAGTTGCATTATTCTTCCACCATTCTAAAACATCAAAATTTGACCGAGTTGGATCCTCCATAGGGTCTGTCAAGTATCTGTCCACATCATTTTTGTACCCATTCACATTCTTCTCCTTCATTTTCCTTACAAACTTACCCCACAAACACCCTTTTTCTTCTGGAGTCGTTTTTGCCTCTGTTGTACTTGTTGTTGCCGCCTCCCCACTACTTGCATTGGCTACAGATTCACCTTTTTCCCCACTATAAACCTCATGCAGCC